GTCTCCCGATTTGTTCATTTTGGCCACTCTGACTGGCGTGAGGTGATATCTGAGTGTGGTTTTGATTTGTATTTCCCTGATGAGGAGCGACGTTGAGCATCTTTTCATGTGCCTGTTGGCCATCCGGATGGATGTCTTCTTTAGAGAAGTGTCTATTCATGTTTTCTGCCCATTTCTTCACTGGGTTATTTGTTTTTCGTGTGTGGAGTTTGGTGAGCTCTTTATAGATTTTGGATACTAGCCCTTTGTCTGATATGTCATTTGCAAATGGGAGATATTAAGTTTAAATGAGATAATACACATACATTATTTAACACAGTGCCTGGAAAGAGATCATGGTAAGACACCACCATTGTTACATTTACAACTTTAATCCTTACCAGGCCTCCTTTATGGGTCTCAGTTTACATATATGAACACACCATAAAAGATTCCAGGGATGTAGGGAGCACAGCTGAAACAGAGAGATGGGGCCACTCGGTAGTAACCAATCATCCAGCAAGTTGTTCCTGAGACCTTATGGATCTTGCCCAGAACCATGCCTCCCAGACGGGGATATAGAAACAATGGCACCTGTGTCCCCATCCCCAAGGAGCAGGCAGCATAGTTGAGAAGACAAAAATCTACACACGACTATTAAGGAACAAAAAGTACTGGGGGATAATGGGACTTTGAGCCGTAATGGGGAAGGCGGAGCCATTCATTCCTTCAACAGAATTTATGTCAGTTACTGGAGCTACAAAACCAAACAGGTGTTACAGGAACTTTAAGGCCAACTTAGTCTTGGAAGACGCAAGAGCTTCATATTTTGTGCTATTGTCTTTCAGCTTCCCACGAAAGAAGTTGGCCTGGGTGGCCCAGCCCCGTGAGAGCCACCAACGATGAAGCTCCTCTTCCTCACCAGCCTGCTGGTGGTTTTCCCAGGTGCGTCTGTCAGGCCCTAGCCCACCTCTCCAGGATCCATTTCCCTGGGAGCACTAAAATCAACCCTATCCGCAGGGATGCCACTCTCAAAATTTGCACTCCCTCGAGGAGGAAGTCTCACAGATGATACAGAAAGGTCATGTCTGAACATAGATGGATGACCAAGTGTTGGGGGTGGACAGGGACAGGAATGGCAATTCCTCGCTTCAAGGCCAGGAAGTCTGGTGAAAGGTCTTCACCAGGAGGGGGAAAAAAAAAAGATCTTGACCTTAAACCTGGCATCTCTAAGAGTTGTTATGGAGTTTGGGGGAAATGACTTATCCTTCTTGGCTGTCAGTATCTTTGCTGGGGAAAAAAAAAAAGGATCTGCCAAGTGTTTTTAGAAATATAGAAAATAATAGATAATAAAGGCAATGGCATAGCATCCTACAAAGTGGCTTTTTTATGAAAAAGCCTATCATTAAGTAAGTTTGCCGTTCCATTGTCCTTACAGTGATTAATTTAAAAAAAAAAATTTTTTTTCAACGTTTATTTATTTTTGGGACAGAGAAAGACAGAGCATGAACGGGCGAGGGGCAGAGAGAGAGGGAGACACAGAATCGGAAACAGGCTCCAGGCTCTGAACCATCAGCCCAGAGCCCGATGCGGGACTCGAACTCACGGACCGCGAGATCGTGACCTGGCTGAAGTCGGACGCTTAACCGACTGCGCCACCCAGGCGCCCCCTTACAGTGATTAATTTTAATGAGTTACAGTTAGAATTTAATACTGATTAATCCTTCTTTATACCCAATCACAACAATTATCCAGCTGTAGTACATAGCAAATAACCCACCGAAGGTACATGCGTCAGGAGGAAAATTTCATCTCCTCGGGGTGAGCCATCAGGATCCTTTCAGCAGGCTTTACCTCCTCGGGCCTCAGAAAACCTGTGTCTTCTCTCCCCACAGTGGTCTCTATGAAGAGTCCCATATTTGGTCCCCAGGAGGTGAGCAGTGTGGAAGGTGGCTCAGCCTCCATCACATGCTACTATCCGGCCACCTCTGTCAATCGGCATACCCGGAAGTACTGGTGCCGGCAGGGAGCCAAGGGCCGCTGCACAACCCTCATCTCTTCGGAGGGCTACATCTCCAAGGATTATGAGGGCAGAGCCAAGCTCACCAACTTCCCCGAGAACAGCACATTTGTGGTCAACATTGGCCATCTCACCCGGAATGACTCTGGACGCTACAAGTGTGGTCTGGGCATTAGTAGCCGAGGCCTCAACTTTGATGTGAGCCTGGAGGTCAGCCAGGGTAAGAATCTAGGCTCCTTGGGCTCCTTTGGGAAAGTGAGAGGGGCTCATGTCGGGAGCAACTGGAGGGTTCAGGAAGAATTTCCTCAGAGGGAAGCGCGTCTGGCCTGGGATGGGAAGGCTGTGTGTCCTCCTTCCAGAGGCAAGGACTTTACATAATAGAACATGGAAAGGAGACCTATAGGACCTACTTGGGGGTGGTGGGGGGAATTTTTAGGTCTTCAAGGCCTATCACATTTTAGGGCTTTACTAAGACTATAGCTTAGAAGAGCATCAGGAGGAAGAGATCTGTCACCGGGTTTGTGGCAGGTGGAGCAAAGGGGTTTTGAACTGAGGGAGACAGAAAAGTCAGGGAGAGATTTGTAGAGATTCTTAAATTCCTGCCATTGTTGCACCCTTCAGATCAAGACCTTACGACACCAGAAGGCTTCTTTCAAAATGCATTTCTTACCTGGGATCCATTAGTCCATCAACACCCTCAGCATAAATTAAATGATCAGTTCTTGCCCAGATACCTGGGCTCTGAAGGAGTGGGCCACTGACCAAGCCTGTTCTAACTGAGAAAAGAGAAAAATAAGAAAGATCTCTCTGGCCAGGTTCAATGACCAAGGCGTATTAGACAATCAAGAAGAAATTAAGAGAGAAAGAGGTCTTAAGGGAGGAAAACTTGAGGGGTTCTCAAAGATATGTTTTGCTCCTTTGGGATGTGCCTATTATTATCTGTGGACTAAATGAAGAGTTCATTCAAGTGGTCATGTAGAGTCATAAAATGGGAGAATTTTAAGAGCCGAGGAGAGCTTGGAGTTGACTCTATACAGGATGTCCAGAACACTGGAGACCATGAGTATACATTTCAAATGGCAAAAATTCATTCCTTTACAAAGCAGCCCATTCCATGTTTGGACTGTTGTAAATTTTAGAAACTTCTATCACAACACACTGAAATCCATCACCCTCTACTTATATTCATTCTGTTTATTTCAGCACACGTTAATTTTGGCACCTATGTATAGGCATTGTGCTAGGCACTGCAGGGGAGTCAAACGTGTGTAAGGGATGTCTTTGCTCTCAAGGGACTTCCACCCTGTGGGGGACATAATTAACTATATGCAAGATCAGATGTAAAAGAGATACAGCTATAAATGTCAAGAGAGCACAAAGGAGGAAGAGATTAGTGTCAGTTTAGGGAAGGCTTCACGGAGGAGACAGCAATGAGGCTCAGTCTTGGAAGACATATTCTGACAGTGTCCCTCTGGGGAGGAGAGCTCTGAAGGTGAGAGGCACACCCAGGCCCTCACTGGGAATGCTGACCGCCCTATGTTTCAAGAGAGTGAAATCACAAATTGCCACCTGTCCCTTGTCTTGCAGGTCCTGGGGTCGGAGATGACACTGAAGTCTACATAGCTGACTTGGGCGGAACAGTGACCATTAACTGCCCTTTCAAGTCCGAAAATTCTGAGAAAAGGAAGTCTGTGTGCAAGAAGACAGGCCAGTTCTGTGTCCTAGTCACTGACTCCAATGGGTATGTGAACCCCAACTATAGCAACAGAACAGTCATCGATATTGATGGTACCAGTCAAGTAACGTTCAGTTTCATTATCAAACGAATCCGGCTCAGTGATGCTGGGATATACGTCTGCCAGGCTGGGGATGATTCCAGTAATGATAAGCACAATGTTGACCTCCAAGTGCTGAAGCCTGAGCCTGAACTGCTTTATGGAGACCTGAGGGGCTCAGTGACCTTTGACTGTGCCCTGGGCTCTGAGGTGGCAGATGTGTCCAAATTTCTGTGCCGAATGAGCAATGGGGAAGACTGCGACGTGGTCATCAACACCCTGGGGAAGAGGTCTAAGGATTTTGAGGGCAGGATCCTGCTCACTCCCAGGGACCAAGGCTTCTTCAGTGTGCATATCACCGGCCTGAGGAAAGAGGATGCAGGGTACTACCTGTGTGGAGCCCACTCTGATGGCCAACCTCATGAAGGCTCACCCACTCAGATATGGCAACTCTTTGTCAATGAAGGTGAGACCTGAGACTGGGAGGGGAAGAGTCATCCCAGCAGGAGGGCACCTGGCTCCCACCCTATGAGTCTATCCAGTATTGATTAGTCAGTTGACGATGTCTGCTCCCTGACAAACTCTGAACTGCATGTCCCCGTGGACAGCTGGACAGGAGAGCTAGAAAACACGGCCTCTGCCTTGTGTTACCTACTACTATTACTTGTGTAATGACTAATTAGGTTATTAAAGGCCTTTCAATGGCTGTCCCTGATTAACAGAAAGGAGAGTGAAGCACTTGACTGAGGCAAAACCTGTAGATCATTTGGGTCTCCAAGAGCCACAATAAGGACTTAGCATGGAACCCTGGGCTTGCAGGGGCCACCTGTCCCTTCTCTTTGTCTTTTGAGCAGAATGGCACCTCATCCTTCACACTCAAATGGGAGAAAGTTTGGCTTCTCTTGGTCTCAGAGCTCTCCCAGGAAGGCAATGCCCCAGCCTCTAAATTTCCTCCTCAACATCTCATAGGGTTATTTTTTATTCTGCACCATCTGGCCTACTCAGCTGTACTTTGGCAATCCAGGAGGGTGGTGAAATAATTAAATCCCTGCTCCCTTTCACCTGGGAGCATCCCGTATAAAGTTACCCTCATGAGAAACAGCAAACCAGTACTTGCAGTTCAGTGTCCCTGCTCTTGTGACCTTTCCTTAAGGGGCTCACATTCTCTGCCCATCATTTTTATACCCAGCTCAGTCCTCATCACATTCTTCAGCATCTTCATAGCTCAGCATCCCCACTGAACCTCAGCTTTGGCTTATTGGAGAATGGCCATCCTTTTCTGAGATGGCCCTCAGGGTCCTAACCAATTAAACCTTCTGTGCTACATAGTTTATATTTTAAATCATACCATTCTAAATTTATTTTCTTAATTTGGAGAAAAACCATCTGACCGTTTTTATGGTATGAGCTAATAAACTGACAAATAGTTACATAGGGAGAGATTTTGTAAGAAGCCCAAGGAGTTCAAGGACTGATGGCCTCTCCTTAAACTCCTTCTATTCTCTGCCCAGAATAAGGTGGGAAAAGAAAATGAGATGCCCAGGCTAGTGGTGAAGATCACTGGAGTCTGGTTGGATGGCTCCAGCCATAGGCTCTGTGACATTAGGACAGTCTTTCTCATTTTCTAAGGAGAGTGAGGTAAATAGTCTAAACCTCACTCCCCACTCTGGCTGAGACCATGCGGAAGAGACTGCCAAGACCATGTTGCTGATGTTCTGAAATTCCATCTCTGTCTGTACTTTCAGAGACCACGATGCCCCAGAGTCCCTCTGTGGTGAAAGGTGTGGTCGGAGGCTCCGTGGCAGTGCTTTGCCCCTACAACCCTAAGGAAGCAGATAGCCTAAAGTACTGGTGTCGCTGGGAAGACACTCCAAATGGCCGCTGCCAGCAGCTGGTAGAGAGTGAGGGGCTGGTTAATGAACAGTATGAGGGCAGACTCGCGCTATACAAAGAGCCAGGCAATGGCACCTATACAGTCCTACTCAACCAGCTCACCAATGAGGACGCTGGCTTCTACTGGTGTCTGACCAGTGGCGATACTCGCTGGAGGTCCACAGTGGAGCTCAAGATTGTCGAAGGTAAGAGCTGAACTGGGGCAAAAGAGAGGGGAGGCATCCCCAGGATCATCCAGTCAACAGCGACATCACCCGGAACCACTCTTCTTTCTATCTCATCTCATGCTGATGGGACAGACCTCGGGAGAGAGCCCCCCTGCCGAGATGTCATGTTTTCATAATTGTAACAACCACCCTTTCCTGAGAAAACCCCACACTCACCAGACCACCACACATAGAACCTTTTATTATCAAGAACGTTGGCTTCTTTCACAGTATATATGGCATCAGCTGAAGTAGAGTGCAGCTCTTTGTATGGAGTCTAGAAGAGAAGAGAGGAACAAGGAAAGCAAACTGAAGTCAAGAGTTTGTGTTTTATGATAGACTAGATTAATGTATGGGGGTCATCAACAATAATCATTACATAGGTACATGATTGCATTCTTTATGTATTCAGTATCATGTATTTACTTATAATGCTATCCAGAGAGGACACGGGCTGTGGACAAATGTCCTCACCACAGTCACTTCCCTGCAGCATTACCAATGCCAACTTGTGTGCCTATTTCTCCCTCCCTCCCTGCTCCAGGAGAACCGAGCCTCAAGGCACCCAAGAACGTCACTGCTTGGGTGGGAGAGACTTTCAAGCTCCCCTGCCACTTCCCGTGCAAATACTACTCCTATGAGAAATACTGGTGCAAGTGGAGTAACAAAGGGTGCAAGACCCTGCCCACCCAAGATGATGGCCCCAGCCAGGCCTTCGTGAACTGTGACCAGAAGAGCCAGATAATTTCCCTGACCCTGAACCCAGTTGCCAAGGAGGATGAAGGCTGGTACTGGTGCGGGGTGAAGGAAGGCCACCGATACGGGGAGACCATGGCTGTCTATGTGGCAGTCGAGGAGAGGGTAAGGGGTAAGTCTCTGAGGGCGAGGCCTACGCGCCCCCCCCCCCCCCCCCCGGGGACATCAGAGAAAGGCTCCTGCCTACAGGCTTCTCCAACAGTGGTGGCCTTTAGGTTTGGTTATAAGAGACTAGAGGCAGGGGGAGATTTAGCCTCTATATAGTCTCATTTAACCCTCTAAAAAGAGCATCTGAAATAAGCATACTAACTAAAAATAAATAAATAAATATTAATAGGTTTGCCATATGACCTCAGCTTCAAGACAAGTCCTGTAGTTGTCCCTTCAGGCCATTTTGAAGCCCTTTCTATGGGAGAGACGTTCTATATGCAGAAATTTCAAAGTCACTACCACATGCAGTATGCTCTGCCAAAGCCTACTGTCAAAAGAGGACCAGATATCTTCATGTACAAGATCTGGTAAAGAAAATTAAGGCAATCCCTTCTAGAAAGTTTGCGTCTTAAGTCTCTTTTTAAAATGTCACATAAAATGTTTTATTCCTAATGAGGGTGTGATTAGTCCCGCTAGAAATCCTACTGTATCTCGGTGCAGCTGGTCTGGTTCACTGAGGGACCCATTGCCAAGCTACCACCAGGGGGCAGCACTATTGCACCCAGTCCTGTGGTCCCTGGACCTTGGGCAGGGTTTCAAAGCTGAGAAAAACTTCCGTCTCCAAATCATAGGTTAGCCCTGAAACAGAGCCGGGTCTATGCCATGGATCCTTGTAGATGGACATGGATTTGGTGTGAACAGGACAGAGATCATCTGACAAGCTAGAGAGGACCATCACTCCTCTCTTTCTAGTGTCATCCTGGACTCCACTCTAACAGCCTTGAGATCTCACCCTGACCCTGTGATTGCTAATGAAGTCCCACTCCACGGATTCCCTAACTCCAGGGAGTGAAAACTGACAAAGAACAATCATTCAGTCCCACTCGTCTTTCTCTAGGGTCCCAAGATGTCAGCCAAGTGAGGGCTGCTCCTGGTGAAGAGGAAGTAGAGTCAAGTGTCAGGAAGACTGAGAACAAAGTGATTCAGGATCCCAGGCTTTCTGTGGAGGACAGACCAGTGAAGGATACTGGAGACCCCGCTGGTGAGAGCAGAGCATCCGCGGACACGGACAGGTGAGGACAAGGACCTCAGGTTGGGCCATGGGGACCATAGAGGAGAGCCTGTCTACCTGTCAATAGTGAAGAAGGCTTCACTGTCTTGGTTTGTGCTCAGGAGGGTCCTCTGCCCTTCTCATGTGGCTGGAGTGGCATCCACCATTCAGTTTAATTTCCCAGGCCTGGGACGCAGAGAAGGCCCAGTCTTTGCTTTTGCCATATCTGAGAAGTATCCTTAGAAGAGTAGAGCTAGGGGGCCACGTCAAGAGAAGGGACTGAAAGAAGGAGCTAGTGAGACTCAACCTGTCAGCACATCCTGGGACCCCAGGTCTCCCTTCCAGTGACTAACTCAGTCTTTCTTCCAGCTCTGCGGGACAAGGCAGGAGCTCCAAAGTTCTTGTCTCTACCCTGGTGCCCCTGGGCCTGGTGCTGGCACTGGGGGCCGTGGTAGTGGGGGTGCTCAGAGCACGGCACAGGAAGAATGTTGGTGAGTGCCTGAGATCCCTTGCCCCCCATCTCCAACCCTGAGTCCTTGGACCTCCATGGGGTTTTATCTGCCCTTCGTGTGTGTGGGGCGGGGGGGTGGGGCTACTACAGTTCCTTTTCTTTCATAGGTTCCAAGAAAGGGTTCTGGGAAAGCAGGATGGGGAAAGATAAGCTCCTACCCAAAATGTACATTAAAGTGCTGCTATCTCTGGAACATCATCTCTGATGGCTCGGGGTTCAAGTTTAGAGGCAGGATTGGCAGGAGGAGGAGCTCAGGAAGAACTACACTTCTACCCTAGTTTGAGAACTGACTGATTATATGACTTTGGGTGTCCCCATTTCATGCCTCAGTTTCCTTAGGGCTCAAGGTAGGGATAATAATAACCACCTCACTGGGCTGATGTGAGGACAGAATGAGACACTGTGCGTTGAAGGGTCAGGGGTTGTTGAGTCTTGATTATCTGTGAGAAGGGATGGAGAAGGAGACTGATCATTTCCGTTCTTTTCTGGGTCAGAGTCAGAGGTGAGCAACCTACCATACTGCCCCTTCCAGCTATCCTTTGGGGCTCCCTCAGAGGCAGCATGTCCTGCTCACATTTGTCCTCTGTCCCTACACCGACTACTCTTTCTCCTGGACAGATCGGATTTCGGTTAGAAGCTACAGGACAGACATTAGCATGTCGGACTTCGAGAACTCCAGGGAATTTGGTGCCAATGACAACATGGGAGCCTCTCAAGTCACTCAGGAAACATCTCTTGGAGGAAAAGATGGTACGTCCCTCACTCAAGGGAATGCCCAACCCCTGGGAGGGCAAGAATTATACCTGACTCTGCCTCTGGGGTGGGAATATGAGGCTAGTGAAGGCTTATCCCCCCACCTTGCTCTTCACATAGAGTTCAGCGCCACCACTGGGAATACCATGGAGACGGAAGAACCCAAGAAACCAAAAAGGGTAAGAGTGAGGAGGGAGATGGTTGCCCCACTTGTGTGACAAGGAAGTGCAGCATGAGGGTCTGTAGTCATATCTCAGAGTTGGGGCTGATGTCAGAATAGGGAAGATAGTGTCAACTTTTTGAGGGCAAGACGTATCCTACTGGCCGTGGTGTTAATGTGGCTGAGGTGCAGGAGATGAGCTGCATTTATAGGCTGTGAACATGCAGCGGGGAGGGAGACTGGGGGTTCAGAAGGAAGTGCGCAGAAACTTCAGCCACAGAATAAGAAAGGTCAAATGTCAAATGCCAGTGCCTAGGTGAATTGTCTTCCTGAGCTGTGGAACCTGTGGACTTCAGGCCACGCACCCTCCCTTGAGAGTTTGCTCTCAGGACCAGCCTTTTGCCTGAGTCTAAAAGACATTTGCTGGCAGCAGGCAATTTGATAGTCACTAGAAGCCCTTCCCCACTCCAACCACATGCCATATGACTTGAAATCCTACCAGAGGTGACTTCTGACTCTGGGTCACATATTACCCTCCTCCCACTCGCTGTGCCTCCTTAACCCCAGCGTGTAAATACTTGCTACCGTATCTACTCTCCCTTGAAGCAGCAGAGACCCTGAATCTGGAACAATTAGGGGAATAAGCTAGTCCTGAAGATGGGCTTCCCCTCCAGCCCTGTGTTGTTGCAAAGCTCCATCTTTAAGATAGTGGTCCTGTGGCTGATATCAGCCTAGACCACCTTGCCCATGTACTGTGTGGGCAGAGCTTCCGGGGACAGGCCCAGGCAACAGGGGTGGTTCCACTCCATGTGTCGGAAGGCGGTAGTGAGACAGAGGGAGATATTTTTAGAAACTGCAACTTTCCGTTTCTCAAAATTCATCATTGGTGAGCATGGGGAGCTAGATTAAGAGCAGCAGGTCAACACAGTCTGGGGTTGCTTAAGCCAGGATTATGTACTCAATATATTTAGTGCCTACCCTCCCTCCGACCCACACCCGCTGAGCCAACACCCCAAACACTGACTCCTGTCCTGTTGCCCCCTTAGTCCTCCAAGGAGGAAGCTGATATGGCCTACACTGCCTTCTTGCTCCAGACCAACAACATGGCTGCCGACGTCCAGGGGGCACCCAGTGAAGCCTAGGCACCAGCTGTGCCCTCCCACCATCCATGACAATCACCTTCAGAATCATGTTGATCCTCGGGGCCCTCAGCTCCAGGGTGCCTCACTGCGTGCCCCCTCACTGCATGGGATTCTCAAAGGGATTCTCCTCCTCACTCCACCCCTCCTTCTCTCCATCTCCCCCTCTCTTTCATCTTTTCTTCTTTCCTTCATTGAAAATACATAGTTGGATATTCACCAGAACCAAGGCAGCCTTCTAGACACTGGGACAGAAAGGCCGTCACCCCGGCCAGCAGCATTTTTGTAAACATCACGGAATCCTTGGAAACTGCAGCTCCTCTTGGTGGAGTTATACTCACCAAGACCTGAAATCCTCATCAGGTCTACTCACCTCTGCCCATAGTGGGAGAGAAATCATAAACTGTCTGGAGTCCTGGGGCCTTAGGGATTATGTAACGTGGGTTTACATACAAGGAATCACACACACACATGCAAACCTTTCACACATGAGAGGTAAAGAGGTTTGCTCAAGGGCACCATGTAGCATAAACTAGTGTCAAAACCAGGTTTGGTACCTCTACCTTTCCTCTTGACCAGGAATCTCTCTACAAGGACCCTTGCACTCCTGATGGAGGCAGAGTTCTAGAATAAGGAGGAGGAGGAAGAGAAAAACATAATGGAGACTAGTCTTTCGCAAGCCCCACCTCGGGGAAGAGGACTCTGTCTTTTTCTGTCACTCAAATGGACCTAACGGGATAAAAGAGTAGTCAAATATGCATAAAGCCACTTATTCGAAGAGCTCTGAACCAAAGGAAGGAAAGAGGGTGTTTGATGATACTGGGGAGGGGCTGATCTCCAAAGAACTAAGGTTTAAGGTCTTTTTCCCTCTGAGCTCTGTACTTCAACCAGCACCTACCAGCTGAAACTTGCTTCCAAATCAAAGATGTGATTTAATTAATAATTAAAGACCATGATTGCCACCAAGGAGGCTCAGACTGCATTTGTCCCCATACCTTCTATTTCCCAGGTAACCCTTTCAGAGTGTTTTGCTTTGGTAACCACTTTCAGGCACTCTAAGCTGTGTGCCTAAACCAAAGTTCCCCCCACCTCCAACGCTGGACTGAAGGGGGCTAGGAGACTGCCTGTAAGTGGGACCAAGATGATCAATAAAAGAATTGTTTGGGGTCTACACCAATCATCAAGAACCTGAAACTCTGTGTTACAGAACTTAATTAAGACTATTTATAATGGAATAAACTGAAAGCAAGTATAACTGTGCTTCTCTTAGGCATTAAGAAAAAATCTTGGTTAAGTATCCATGGAATTCTTGACCTTGGATCTTATATCTTCCTGGGGTATCCTTCCAGATAGAGAGGCTATTAATCAAAACTCAAGTAACCAAATGAGTAAACTCCTTCCACAGAAATTTCAGCTAGAAGCTATTTAAATGATAACTTAGCTTTTAGAATAATTGACCCAAAGTCTCTTGGGGGACAGTGATTAGATAAAGGACCCCCTTGTCTGCCAAGGCCATTCCTAGGTTCTGGCACTAAACCTAATCATATCCTATCAACCCCTCACACCACACCAGACTCGTCCTCAGGGCCTCTGTGTATCAGAGTTCTCTCTGGGAGAAAGTTCTTCCCAGGCTTCTATCCTGCCTGATGTGGGGAAGAGAATTTGCTTCCACCTGGGCCTTGATCATACTGCTTCTGATGCTTTGTGCTTCCAAGCCTGCCATTGACCAGACTCAGATTTCAGTCCTCCTTAGTCTCCCCTCCTGCTCTACCAACCTCAATGTCCAGGCCTGATTCCTGGACCCTGACCTGGATCAGAGTCTTGGGCTGCACTCTGGCCCAGAGAGATGGTCATCAGGAATATTTATTTCTCTCTGTTCTCTGTAATGGGGATGCATATTTAGCTTCTTCTGGAATGACAGCAAATCATTCCAGGAGAACCAAAACTACAAGGTGCATCAGAACCTATGTTTTCCCCCTGGAAGCTACTCTCCGACCAAAGCATCTTTCCTGGGGCAGTAAGATTTAGATGCAGCTTCTATATTAATGCCAATAACCTGCAAGCCAATCCGGAGCTCAGGCAGCCTATCCCATCCCCTAGAATCAAAGACCAAGAAATGCCACTAACGTCGTAGACGATCCTGTATTATTCTTAACTGATGTTATAAACTGGTGGTCAAGTATAATAATGTACTGCCCAAAGCCCACCTGAAATCCTTCCATGAATAAGGAAGCTGGTCTGTGGCTGAAATGGGATATCTAATAACTTAAAAGGTCAACAATTTGGGGGAGGGTTTTAGTTTCCTAGCCTGCTATAACAAACCAGCTTAAACTGGGTGACTTAAAATAACAATACCTTAGTCTTTCACCGTTCTGGAGATTGGAAGTCTGAAACCAAGATGTCCGCAGGGTTGGTTTGTTCAGGAGGCTGAGAGGGGGAAGCTGCTCGGGCCTCTCTCCTCACGTCTGGCAGCCGCCCGCAATCCTGGGTGTTCCCTGGCTCACAGCTGCATAACTCCCGTCTCTGCCCCATCCTCACGTGGCCTTTTCTTGATGTGTCTGTCTGTCTGTGTCTTCACACGGCCTTTGTACAAGGACACCTGCCATTGGATTTAGCTCCCCCCCATCCTGTTTGGCCTCATCTTAGTGAATTACACCCACAGAGTTCCCATTTCTAAATGAGGTCATATTTTAAGGTTCCAGATAGACACAAATTTCAGAGGGACACTATTCAGCCCAGGCCTTGGGAGTAACAATCGACTGTGGGGTTAATGATAAACCAAATAGCAATGATCAGTGCCGAGCAATGACTCAGAGGAGTACTTAACTGTTTCTGATGATTAAAAAAAAAAAAAAAAAAAAAAAAAAAAAATCTTCCTCAAGTTCTTGAATTATTTTGATTTTTTTTCCTTTAAAAAATCCATTAGGTAATAATGATTACACATTACTAAGGCCCAATAGTGGCCGAGAATCTGCTTACAGCAGTTGATTTTGGTTTGTAAAGCTATATATATACATATATACATACACATACACACACATATACATATACATACATATACATATACATATACATATATATATATATACATATACATATACGTATACATATACATATACATATACATATACATATACATATACATATACATATACATACATATCGTTTGTCTAAGACTTTCCCAAGAATCAGGACAGAACATTTGTCCTAAGAGTAGTAAATGAATCTGGTCCCCAAAGCAGAGAAACAAGTACAGTCCCCTCCTCACCGACCCCACAAGCTTCTCTGAAATAATGAACTCTACTAGAGGATCTATATAAGAAACATAATAAGAGATCATCTTAGAAAGACCACATATCTAAGGAGCCACCAAAAGAAAAGATATAAAACAGACCAATGGCTCCCAGCTAGCTAGGGTGCTGAAATAGGAAGGGAAAGAAGATGGTCAAGCTCTTAGATTCCAGGAGTTCTGAGGGCTTGGTAAGCCTCTCCTAAGGCTGATAAAGAAATGGGCAGCTGACCCACCCTCACTGGAGTCAAAAGTCTTTGATTAAATATGTGGAGGTGAATATTCTAAACTCCAGATTTTTGCTGATAAATCGCATTAAAATTCATCCAAAATTCTACATATTTGGGTTCTAACCTTAGAATATCAATAGAAGTGTGGCCATATTTAGGTAAGAAGTCTTACCATTTCTTATAGCAGAAGGCCGTGAATAGGCTCACAGTAAAGGTTAACCTTCCCAAAGCCTTGTTCCTGTGGAGTGGCTCAGTCTGGGTCAGGCAAGCCTCTCGTCCAAGTTCTTGGAAAGTGGGAACCACAGGGTGCCTGAGCCGGGTACCTCTACCTAAGTGGGCTCCATGGTGAATCTAGCAGGTGAGGGGATGCTCATGATCTGTCTTTGCGGAGAGTAGTGTTGGGTCCCGGGGAGGGCCACTTAGGATCTCAACCCTCAGTCTGGAAAGGCCCAGGAGATGGCTGTTTCGGAGGTCAAACAGCCTCCAGGAGGTCAAAGGAGGGTGATGTTACAACCAAGCACAATCCATAATGACAACTTTCACCTTAATGGAGACAGCTAATCTCCACTGAACTCACACTATATTCCAGGCATCGTATCAAGCCCTTTGTGATGCTTACCTCAGGCAATCTTCACGACAACCTTATGAGAAATATTTTTCTTATCCCATCTGTAACATAGGGAGGATAATAAAAACCCAAGTCATTATGGGGACTAAATGAATTCACCTGAAGGACTTAGGACAGTTCCCAGTGTATCTGGCATTATTTATTATATCCACTTCCCTGTCATCAGACTCTGAATTTTTTCCCATTGCGTTCATCCCGTCTGGTCAAGCGTTGGCCCCAGAGGATGTTAGGCCACTGAGTCCCCTGCCTGTCAGTGGGCTTCAGTTTTTCATATCTTTTCCCAAGTGGGAACACCAGGGCAACACAGCGGCCCTGTGAGTCAGAAAAGAGCAATAAAATTTGGTTGGTGAAGAAAGAGGGAGAAGAGAATGAAGATAGTAAACTCCTCCACTTAGCCAGGGTTCAGCCTTCCCTTGGGGACCCAGCCTACCCTGAGACCTTGGGGTAGAGACTGGAGGTAGAGACTGGATCGCCCAGGTCTGGGAGTTTTGATTCCTCAGATTTCAAGCGTTCACTTCCTACCCAGGAGTTCTGAGACCCCCCAATTCCCGCTCGTAACAACCCCAGTGTGATGTTACTAAGGGTTTCATCTGGGCCACCCGCGATGTGAAAATATCTCATTCCACACATTCCCAGCACTGCAGCCACAGCACATCCAGCCCACGTCTCCATAGACGCACGTGTGCACGCACACAGCATGTTCACACTCACAAGCCACACACACACCTACCCATCTTACTCCCACATTCTTACACCCACAGTCACCCACCCACCCACCACAGTCATTTATTCTCTCTCTTGCCAAGGCAGTCCCAGGTCTTGAGCCCAGCAGATGGCAGAGCCCAGCTGTGGGACAGCTGTGAGGAATTGGGATGAGCCCTCCAAGTAGGAAGGGTGGAGGCTGACCAGAACCGAGGCCTCTGGCAGTCACTCACTCTAACCAGAGGCCTGAGGCTGCCCCCTGACACCTTGGCCCAGTTGGTGGTTGGAGGAAATCAGAACTGCAGCGGCCCTGCGCTGATGGAAACCCAGATAGGGGTGGGCAGGACAGGCTGCCTGCCCCCCCCACACACTTCCTCTGCACCTGCCCTGAGCCTCGCGTTTGACTTCTACTGCGGATGTTGTCGTTTTGTGTTTTGGAGAGCATGTGACCAGTCTGGTAAGAAAGGGGGTGGAAATGGCCTCAGTCCTCGGTGCCCCTGAGAGGCTGCAGCCCCTGGAAATGAGGATGCTGGCCAGGTGCCTACAATGTAACCATCGGGAATGAAGCCCTGGGGATCCTCTGATTAAGTAACCGCTCCATGCTGCACCTCCACATTTAAAAGCCCTTCAAGCCCTTCCATGGCCATGGTTTCTGCCGGGCCTCATGAAAGCCCTGTGATGTAGGCAGGGCAGGGACCACCCCTATTTATTAATGAGGAAACTGAGGCCCGAAGCTAGGAAGCACCAAACCAGGACCAGAAGCCATGTCTTCGGACGGGAACCCAGAGCTCTTTCTGTGATACCTTGTGACTGATGGCCTCAGCATATCTCCCGTCTCCATCAGTCACTGGCCCTTTCCCATAGACCCTTGGGGGGCTTGGAGCCTAGCTCTGCCAGGCTGCTGTGACTTCAGACACTGTCACGTGATCGTCTGGCATGCCTCTGTGGCCACTGGAATGTTGCCTGGGCCCCTGCCAGAGGGCAGCACCTTCAGGGGCAGAGCTGGGAGAGATGAAGTGTGGTTGATCTCAGGTTCTGGGCAAACTGTGGTTAATTAAGACTCCAGGAACAGTAACCTACAGGAGGGAATGCCAGGCTCATTGAGTCCCACCCTCCTTTTCTAGATAAGGAGATCTAGGCTCAGAGAAAGGGAGTGAATTCCTCAAAATCAATGGTTAGTATTCCCATATGGTAGGTGCACAAAATTATTTGCCAAGTAAATTCAAGGGCTACAACCAGTATCTTCTGACTTCAGGACTAAGTTTCTACCCATACAGTCCTCCTCAGATGGAGAAAATTGGTGACAAGTCTCTTTTATCCTGAAGACAGGGATAAGGCAAGTGACTCTGTCTCAGAAGTCAATGAATATTCATAATGCATGGGAGGCCCTTCCAAGAAAACATGCCCAAGGCTAAGAAGCATCATGCCTGAGAGCTTCTAATAGCTTTTTGGAGCTACCTACCTAGAGGCCCTTTGAACCCTGGTGACCCATTCGTGCTCAACATAACATATTTTCTCAATTCCTAACTTCCGCTGTGGTTTGCTGGTATTTTCTTTTTTAGTCTAAAACTAGTTAGCAAACAAAACAAGTTGTCATTTCCTCATTTTCAAGTCTTGCTCCTCGTGGGGGCCAGAAATCTCTTTCAAGCTCCAGATTGTAAAGGGTTCCTGGGTGAGCAGTGGGTCCCTGTCCCCATCTCCAGGGGCTTTTGGATGGGACGTTGCTCTGGAAGGAGCCATGGACCTCTGGCTTTGGTCACTTTGCTTCCTGCCAGGTAAGTGCCCTGGGAAAACACCTTGGACGTTTTATGAGGTTGAATTGTCCACAGGTAGGGGAGTTGCTGGCCATCTCTAGCCCTGATGTTCCTGGATGGATTTGTTTGCAGATAAGTACTCAGGGCAGGATAAGGATAGAGACCATGTGAAGTTCTGGACGTCCTCCCCACTCTCTGTGAGTGCCCTGCTCTCCACTCCAGACTCATCTCCTGTGAGGCTCCGGTGTTGACCCACTAGTGTTGAAGGCATTACCTCTCCTAGGCATATTAGTTTGATAATATGGGATCATAAAGCAAGTGCCTCCAAATTTCTTTCTTCTTACCTCCACATTCTCTTTCTTTGGATCTCTTTCACTGCTGATTTTCAACTTTCAGCTTTAAACGAGGACTCCTTCATCAGTTCAGTAACCCTAATCCAATCCTCAAGTTTAATATCTTCAGCCCTGTCTTCTGAATCCCAATAGCTGCCTTCTGGGAACCCTCACTTTAGTCTCCCACCAAGAGCTGAAATGCAACATACCTAGCACCATAATTCAAGTTCCTTTTTGGCCCCCATCCAAACAAGCTATTCTATCCATCTTAACTATCTCTGATATCAGGTGCAAATGCCAGAATGATTTTTTTTACCACCTCTTACCACTTATTCCCACCCCGACTTTGACCCAATTAATGGCCAGTTCATGTAATTTCTGGATTAGCATGACCGGGATAAGCAGCCTCTACTAGAGAGGTAACAGAGGGAATGGAAAGGAACAGAACTCAAAGTCATCTCATAACTATCCCACTTCCTCCAAACTGACCCACTGGTGAATCCAGATTACTCTCTCTAATGCTTGACTCTAATCATAGGATCGCCCTTCCTAGAAATCTTCAATGGCTCCCACTGCCTACAAACTCCTACCTTGTGCTCCCCTTTTACCCTCTGAGCTTACCACACTCCCCTGCGCTTCCCTAACCTCCAGCCAAAGAGGACTCCTCCTTAAACATGTGCTGGACATTCCTGTCACCATGTTCTTAGTCATGCCATTCCTTCTGCTGATAACATCCTTCCTCTCATCTCCACCTTTTATGAGGCCTTCAGAATTCACTTCAACCTCCACCTCCTTGTACGCTTTCCAGAGCCCTGTGTTCTGAATCCCAAGAGCTGACCTCATTCTGCCTTATATTGTGACTTGGCATGTATTCACTTTATTTTGTTGATTAATTGGTGAGCTCCTTGAAGGTCAAAATGATTTTTTTATTCATATTTGCTTTATTTCTAATGGCTTGAATATGGAAGAAAGTCAAATATTTGTTGAGTCAAAGATTGAAACACCCTAAAAGTCCAAGGAAATGCAATTTTAATGAAATGTCAGACTCTGTGAGAGGACTTATGTCAACACAGTGGATGGTTAACTAAACTTAGGCTTGAGAAGAAAGAGTGGTTCAGTGGGGGTAGAAGATCTCTAGGAGTTAAGGGTACTTGAACTGCAACACTGTAGTCTGTCCTGAGCAATACCACCGTTCTAGCTGGGCCAGAGGGGTCCCTGCTCTGGATCCAGTCCATCTCCCTTTGTGCCCATCCTCAGAGAGTGAGGAGTTCACAGGCCCAAGGGGATTGTCCTCCTCAAGCCCACACTCATATCCCCTCTTCTAGACCTCGAGCTCCTTGTCCAGATGACTCTGGGCCCACTTTCAATGACTGTATAAGACTCCATACTGGGTCTTCTATCCTAGAATTCTATCTTATTCTATAAAAGGCTGTTTGGAATGAGATGGGTGGAGCTAATACATGAAACCTGGATTATCTGCTATATATGTACTAGGACCCTTGTGGTGTTGGCAGGAGTTGGGATGAGAAAAGAAGGGGATATAGGACAGATGCTAGGAGTAGGAAACTTGGAGACATTCTTCCCACATAGAAATGTTTTATTTATTTTTATTTTTATTAAAATGTTTTTTAATGTTTATTTATTTTTGAGAGACAGAAAGACAGAGCATGAGGGGGAGCCGGGCAGAGAGAGAGGAAGACACAGAATCCAAAGCAGGCTCCAGGTTCTGAGCTGTCAGCAGAGAGCCTGACACAGGGATGAGACTCATGAACCATGAGATCATGACCTGGGCTAAAGTCGGACGCTTAACCTACTAAGCCACCCAGGTGCCCCCAACACAGAAATATTTCTGAGTGGACATCTAAGGTGTGTGAATTTGTCAAGATGGGTCATAGGACATACTTTACTCATCGGTTTATTATCTTGATTTATGATTTTAAAATATTTAGACGTATGATGTCGGGGTCTTTATTTGTATTTCTGCCCCAGGTTGTACAAATATTGGAATAGTCCTTGTTCCAAGAGCCCAGTGCATGGGGCACAAACCATAGACCACATGGCCCTAGGGGAAGTTCCACAATAAAGCAAAAATGTATTACATGATGTAGGCTTTTCACCTTGACCCATAAAAGTAATAATACATATACATGATGTTGTGACCCAGTACATACACACACACACACACACACACACACACACACACACACCCCTAAAATTTATTCTTGATTATTTAATATAATATGGGAATGAGTTTTGGGTTTCAGCAGTTGGGTGGATGCCGGTACTGTCTTCTGAAACAGGAAGAGCTTAGACAGAACAGGTTTTGGAAGAGAAATCAAGAATTCTTTTTTTGTTCGTCTATTTGTTTTGCCATGGTAAGTTTGAAATACATCTTAGATATTCAAGTAGAGTCCAAGTGGCGATATCAGAAAGGTGATTCTAGAGTTTAGAGGTAAAAAAGACAAGACTAGAGATGAATGTTCTGGAAAAAACTACATACAGTTGGCATTACAAGCCATGGGAGTAAATGAACTAAAGTGGGGAGAGGAAGGGAAGACTGAGAAGAGACCAGGCATAAGTACCAGGCCTTAGGGCAACCCAATACTGAGAGGTGGGTAGAGAAGGAGAGGAAAGTAAGGAGATTGAAAAGGAGCAGTCATTGTGAGTGTGGTGTTAGGGAAGCCACGAAAAGTAAGCATTTCAAGGTGGGAGGGCTCAATTCCCTTACATGCTGCCAAGAGGGCACGTAAATGAAGACAAAGACATCGAATGTGGAAGCTAGGAAATTTTTGCTGACCTTGACTAGCAGTTCTAGTGGAATGTTGGAGACACAATTCTGACAGGCATAGGTGGGAGAAAAAGTGGGAGGTATGAAAGTGGATTCTGTGACCTTGATGACTCATTTGAGAAAGAGAACAGAAGAGGGGTGGCATCTGAAGGGGAGGCAAAAGGTAGATGGAGGGTTTTTTCAATATGGCCAATATCAGAGCAAGTGTGTAAGCCATGGCAATGATAGCAGAGAAGAAACCAAATGACACGGCGAGGAGAGAGGGATCAGTGTGGAAGAGAAGTTCTAAAGAAGGTGAGCAGGTTGGACTCAGGACACAGGAAGAAGAACTGGCTTTGGGGAGGAGGGGGGACACTCTATTCATTGCGACAGGACAAAAAGCAGACAGGCTGCCTGGACACACATGTTGGTGTATGTGGGAGTAGGAAGTTGAGTAGAACGTTTCTCATCTTTTAAAAAAGTTCACACTCCATCTGGTAAACATAAAAGTCTCAGGGGCGCCTGGATGGCTCAGTCAGTTAAACGTCTGTCCCTTGGTTTGGGCTCAGGTCATGATCTCATGGTTCACGAGTTCGAGCCCTGCATTGGCCTCTGTGCTGACAGTGTGGATCCTGCTTGGGATTCTCTCCCTGCCCCTCCCTCATGCTCTCTCCCTCAAAAATAAATAAACACTAAAAAAAAGTTGCAGGCCAGCTTCCTTCTTCCAGAAAGAATTCTGCTGTGACTTGAGTTGCGAGGGTTCTCATCAGCCGGAAAACCACTGCTCAACAGAATCCGAAGTCCATCTTCAAGGCACCACCCCAGCCAAGGCCTTTGGAGCATTTACCATAATTTTCATCATGGAAATGATGTGTTTTTCTCCCATGTTCCAAACATATATATTTATATCTAACTATATATCGAGAGTGACCTTTTAAATCACCTATACCCCTGTCCTCTACCATCGCCACTGAAAATCAAGTCACCAAGTTAGAGATCAATGTCACTTACTAAGTAGCCTCTTTAAAACACCAATATTAAAGGGGTTGGGTCCCTTAGACACCTACTTCCACCCCTCCTTTTATTCCCCAGAATCATATGGAAATATAGTTATGTAGTTCAGAATTGCAAAAATTCAAGGACACCTGGGAAGCTTATTTTAAAATGCAGATTCATAGGCCCCACCCTAGACAGATGTAATCACCATGCCAAAGGGTAAGATCAGGTCACCAGCATCCTACTAAGTTCCTCCAACATGCCTCATATGCACACTGGGCATAAATTCGAAACCAGGAAATTACATCTATCTTTTCTCTCTTTGGGAAATCTGCTTTTCTAAACCCTTGTTGCGGGTTAGAAGCTACTGTGAACTCCAAGGAGAGCTGGGGTCTTGTCCTTTCATCTCACCAACTAGTGCTTCCTTGGGACCAGAGCTCAGTGTACCCAGCAGCTTTTCTTGTGCTTCGTCTGTCCAGGGTTTACACAATAAGGATGCCTTGCTTTGTCTCTTCTGGCTGCTTTAATAAAACATCATAGACAGCGTGGCGTAAACAATAGAGCTCATTTCTCACAGTTCTGGAAACTAGAAGCTCAAGATCAAGGTGCTGACAAATACTGTCCTTGGTAAGGGTCCTCTTCCTGGCTTACAGACAGCCACCATCTCCCTGGGTCCTTACATGGCTTCTTCTTGTGTACATGGAGAGAAGAGGGACACTAATCCCATTATGAGGGCTCTACTAACCTCATCTAACCCTAATTACTTCCCAAAGGACTCATCTCCTACTACCATCACATTGAAGGTTAGGGCTTCAACACGTGAATACTAGGGGAACACAAACATGCAGCCCACTGCAGGGGATCTGGGTAAGCCAAGGGTTTACCAGAAGCTCATTCCTGAGCAGAGTGAGGTCACTCGAGGTGTCTGCATAGGTGATGACCTCTCTTTGCTCTGTCTTGCTCCTGCCCATATTGTAGCATCTTGCTCTTGGGAAAGCAGCATTCATGCCCCTTTCTGGCTGGGTTGGTCCAAAAATACATGCTCACTCTCAGATGCTGGGCTTTACACACAGGTGTGGGCTGTCTGGACACACAGGGTAATTCCCCCACCCCCTTGATTGGGTCTTTGTCTTTTGAATGGGTCACCCTTCCATTGCCACGTTCCAGTCATGAAGCTGCCTCACACACCTAGGTTTCCAGCAGATTTGAAACAGCATTGGATTATTTGTGTGAAAGTTTCCATGTTAGATGTTACATGTTCTGGCTGGACCCTCCTCTTATCCCTATCATGTTAACACCAGTTACACTCTTAGACTTGAACATACTCCTGGAAACGTTCCCCCTTCCAGCCCCTATCCCCCATTCTCATACTCCCATGGTTGTTTCTACCTCTTCACTGGTGTCCACACTCTCTGCTCCCCCCGGAATGTCCTCTTCAGCTCTCTCTGCTTGTCCAGAAACCTCAAGCCCTGCTTCTTTCTTTGACTTTCCTTATCTTACTAAACTCCTTGGAGCTATTCTTAATGTGTGGTCAGGGGATGAATTTCAAGAAGTCTGTCAACTTCTCTCCATGAACATGCCATGTTCTCTCTCATATCCCAGCCTCTTTGAGCACTGTGCTCATTGCCTGGAAGAGTCTTTTCTTCCTCTACTCAAGTTCCCTGGCCCCACTCCCACACACATACTTCACCCTCTGCCCCTCTTTCCAGAAATATGCAGACACTTATTGGGACCCATTTAGTTGATAATTAATCATATTTGGACTACCCTCTTTTTCCATCTGACTCAACTGTGTTAGATCTGCCTTCTCTCAGCCAAAGCATAAACGTATTGTATTGTATTGTATTGTATTGTATTGTATTGTATTGTATTCTGTTCTATTCTATTCCTCCCTGCTCCCACCCTCCCCAACACACATACAATGTGTATACACCTGTGCACACGTGCGCACACACACACACACACACTCTTGCATTCCATCTGCGTTCCCTCATTCAGTGAAGACCATCATTCTCTCAGTTGCCCTCCACACTCAGTCTTTCAGGTCACAACTTAGACTTCACTTCTTCCAGAAACCCTTCCTCAAACTACACCATCCCTTGGCAGCAGCCTGGATCCAGTTTCTCTGCTCACTGCTTCCAAGCCTCCCTGTGTATCTCGGTTGTGGGGTGTATCGCATGACTCTGTAGTGAGTGTCCATTTGTACCACCCACTAAATGATTCATTCTGTGCAGGGAGGGATGCCAGCCATCTTCCTGCCACATAAAAGGCATTCAACAAATGCTTTAAAAAAAATGATTTAACAAACAAAACCGAGGGTGAGCAGTCGTTTTGGCTGAATGGATCTGAGCAAAACAAAACTAGACAGGAAAGCTGTTGCAGCAAAATCGCACTGTGCCTCCCAACACCGCCCTGAAATCAGTTGCGTGCTATGTGCTGATTGGGGTTGCTATGGCATATCATCTCTCCTCGGCGTGGGACAGAAGTTTTGAGTAGTTTTGACTTCTTAGAGGTTTGGTAACTGAGATCTTAGGGGTTTGGGTTCGAATGAGGGTGAGGGTTATGTTAAGGTTTGGGCTGAGAGAGGTCCAGCTGGGAGTCAGGCTTGGGCAAAGGGCTAGGGAAGAACATGGAGCCAGACTGAGGAGGTACATAGGGTTAGGGATAGGAGGAGGTTGAGGATGAGGCTAGGGCTAGAGATCAGGAGAAGGTCGAGGCTAAGGTGATCTGAGGCTTGGGCTGATGATGGGGATAAGGCTGAAGCTAGAGAGATGAGTGTGAGACTGGGCCAGGGCCTGGGTTGGAAATAGGGCTGGAGTTGGGGATGTGGTTGGAAATGGGGCTTCCTGTACATTAACTCCCTCTCCCTGCAGTGGCTGGGGCTCTGAGGAACCTCCCAGAAGTAAAGCTGGAGGGAATTCTGGGTAGCTCCATTACCATTGAGTGCCCGCTTCCTCAAAAGCATGTGAGGTTGTATCTGTGCCGGGAAGTGGCTGAATCTGGAGTATGTTCCACCGTCGTGTCCAGCAAGAATTTCGTCAAGGAAGAATACAAGCACCGAGTCACCCTGAAGCCATATCCAGATCAGAATGTGTTCCTAGTGGAGGTGACAGAGCTGACCAAGAGTGACAGCGGAGTCTATGCCTGTGGGACAGGCATGAACACAGACCGGGGCAAGACCCAGCAGGTCACCCTGAGTGTCCACAGTGGTAGGTGCCCCCCCATGGAGGCTCAGTGCACCTAGCAAATGTCACCACCCGGGAAGGCTGGGAGAACCACTGAACTACAGAAGTCCTACAGACTGTCATGCTATTACCATGCTAGCCAGTCCAAAGATAATTGGGATTTGCATAGTTGAAACCTCATACAGTGAATTAACTTCACAGTCCCCCAAATTTCCGACCCAAACCATTTGAAAGGAACAAATAAACGCTCTCCTTGCGTTGTATTCTATCCGCACTCCCCAAGGTCTGAGGGGAATGAGGGTTTAAGGTAGAGGAAAGGCTCTGAGATGGGAGGAAATTGGAAGTAAAAGGACATAACTGCCTTACATAGCTGTCCCATGAGACATAGCAGGGATAACTATCAAGGAAAGACAGTCATTTTTCAAGTCACATTTGTAGGTCAAACTTGGTATTTTATGATCTGATCCTTTCCATATGTCTCCCAAATCCCACCTTTCTCCATTCCTCTACTGACTTCTTAACTCCTATGCAACCACTAATTCAACAGCCACTCTAAAATCCCAGTGGCCACTGAGCAAGGGTGGAAGAGCATTTCTTTCAGGGAAGTCTCCAGCCCATTCTTTTTCTGCTCTTCCTGGTGGACTCTGGCCTCGTCCTCCCCCTGCCATCCACCCTGGCTGAGTCAGCTTCAACTCATACCAACATCCCTTCCTGGGGTCTCAGTCTCTTCCGAGAGCCCCCCCCCCC